ATAGAAATTTGCGCTCGAATTTGGCCGATAATACCCAACGAGCCCCCATTCGCAGCGTAAAATGGTATGTCGACAGGGAGCAACGGACGACTCTGAACGGGCAGGATATTATAAATCAAATCCGAAATGATAGTTGCCGAAGCTCCCGTATCGACCAGTACCCGTACCTCCACCCCGTCAATATGCCCCGTGACAAAGGACGACCCCGCCGATGCAGCCACAACCCGGTGAGCCAACTCGGACCATTGGCCCGGTTGGAGCGCCCTCCCCGACATGCCGCGACCCGACGCACCAGCACCCAAACCCCGAGAATAGTGTATCGGACCTTGTGAGAGGAAAGTGGGTGTGTGTGCAGGCCGAACATGTGGGGTGCCATGACTTGCCCGAGGATGTTGCGAAGGCTTGTGGGGAGGGCCGTCCGCAGCTCCAGGTCTCGCTCCGCGCTGTCGAGGAGCCCGGCATCCGGACGCCACGTGGCCCCGGAGGCCACAATTGTAGCAGACGACGAGCGCTCCAGAGGACTTGGGCTGATCTCGGTGGCTCGGAACGTCCCGAGCCGGTCGCTCGGCAGATCGCCATCCTGCAGAACGGTCCGCAGCGAAGGCCCCCTCCATTCCGGAAGAGGTCGCCGCCACGGTGTGTCGTGCAGCTGCCTTGTTTGCCTTCCTCCGCTGGGAGATGAGATTGGCATGAATGTGCCTTGCAGCCCGCAATGATGACATATCCGCATCATCCTGTGCTAGGATGATGAAGTCTAAGTCGTCGGCCAGCAGCAAAATTTTCTCGGCCACCATCGCATCGATCCCTTCTTCGTCCATACGCGGGAAAGCGTCTTTCGCCAATGACAGCAGGGCCGTGCGATAAGCAAGTGGCGATTCCTTGTCGCCCTTCTGCCGTTCATAGAAGAGCTGGCGACAATCGGAAGGCGGCCCATAAACTGTGGCCAGCAGCTGCAGCGCCGACTGAATCGTGGAGCGTGCCGACTTGGGTGCAGCGGTGAGGGTGCCCAGGGCGTCGCCATTCAGCATCGCCGGGAGAGCACACAGCGCCTCGTTGTCCGACCAGCCCGCCATTTCTTGGTGGGCAAGAAACCGGCGCTGGAACCCCCCCCAATCGCCGTCGCTTGCTACAAATACCTGCAGGGCCGGCAGGCGTTGCTGGAATGTCGGCTCCGTCTCCGAGTTTCTTGCAGCCTCCGTATCGCGTCCCCGTACTGTACGAGTAATGGCGGACTCTAATGGGTGTCGCGCCGTCAGTGACGTGCTGGTTGGGGCTTGGTCGGTGCCGGCGTCCAATGGTGGTGACGTTGCAACCCCCGATAGGCAGCCACTGCGACCCGCCTTCGCCGATGACGTGGCGGCTGCTGGCTGGGCTCCGTCCCCCGCGTGACGAGCTGGAGCTCCTCCCTCTGCCCCTACTGTCTTTGTGGCGGGAATTTCGAGTCTCCTCTCTGTTGTAAAGGCGGGAGTTTCTGGCGGGCGTTGTCCATCTTCCCGCCGCGTCGCTCCTCCTGGCCCCAGGCGAGTTATTTGTTCCAGCATGGCGGCCGCTGCATACAGGAGCTCCGCCAGCTGCGAGTGAGCCAACGCCAACTCGTCAGTCGACGTCCCGGCCCTCTCCGACGACCCCGCCGATGTCGGAGCCGGCAGCGGTTGTGCAGGTACGTCGGCGGTGATGTCTTGCACCGCCCCTCCCTCGTCGTCATCCTCTCCTGGGTCTTGGGCACGAGTCGTCCGTCTCGTATCCATGCTTGGACCACTTCCAACACCAGATGTAGTAAGTTCGAGGAGACGATGTCGAAGTTGAGGCACACTCTGTTTATTAACCTAGGGACAGGCACAATAGTTGAAGGGGTATCGGCCCCTTCACCCGTACTATGGGAAACCCACCCTAGTACTAAGCCCCCTGTCCTGTTCCCCAGTCCTCCTCTACTGGGCTACGGGAGGCTGACTGATCTGGCCCTGGCAAGCACAGATCTCGGCACCAGCTAACCAGCCTTGCGCTGATAAGGGCAGCGGTCTGGAAGCTTTTGGGCCGCGCCGCTGGCTTACCCGGCTCGGCCCTTATAAGGACGGCGAGACCGGGGAGTCCCAGGGCCTAATCTCCGAGTCTTGGATCTTCACTGGTCAGCTTCGTGTCGAACTGCTTAGAGCTCTTTGGGTCTCCACCTTTTATAGGGATCACCTCCGAGGGCTGGGGGCGTGGGCAATAACGGATGCGGACGTCGGTGTGACCACCCGTGTATGTGAGTGCCAACACCCCTGTGTTTGTTGTCCGCCGTTTCTCCCTTAATAATCCCTACAACTGGACGAACATGGTTGGATCTTGCAGTACCCGTCACGACACGTCCCAGTGAATTGTGTACACGCTGCAGCTTGGTAATACTTTTTCGAGACATCTCGTAGAGTAGCGAGTTACAATAATTGAACTTTGTCGAAACTATGGTACACGCCACCGTGTTGGCTATGTCACGACTCACTAGTGGTCGAATGTATCGTAGAGTCCTGATGTGAAAATTGCAGGACCTCACCCAGCAGTGGATTGACAAAAGGGCTGTACATGTGTAGGACATGAAATATACACGCCACACGTTCGGTTGTTCTGTTGCTATGCAAGCGAGCAGAGTACAGTAGGGGGTATCCGAGGACGGGGTTGTTGTTGTTGGGCGAGAGAGAAACGTTGTTAAGAGGCGCGACAGGTGTTAAGGGTAACCGAGGACGCATGCCGGTGATTGGTTAGGAGGGTGAGTTCTTAATGAGTGGCGCCGCTCAGGCGGGAATAACAAAGTCATGTGAGGCTGGGGGCCTGGGGGCGAATGTAAAAGCGGGGGGGGAGGGGGGGGTGAGATAATTGATTGGGACTGATTGGTGCTGGGATAAAAGGTTAGCATAACGAAGAGACAGGAGTCTTGGTGGGAGTTGGAGTCTGGGTTGGAGCTGGAGTGATGGTGCCCAGTGATAGAGGGAGCAGTGAGTACGGTAACAGTGAGAGTGAGAGCAGTGAGTACGCTAACAGTGATAGAGATAGCAGTGAGTACGGTAACAGTGATAGAGAGAGCAGTGAGTGCGGTAACAGTGAGAGAGCAGCGAGTACGGTAACAGTGATAGAGAGAGCAGGGAGTAGGGTAGCAGTAGATAGAGAGAGGTGCGCAGAGTAGGGTAGCAGCAGAGTGTACGGACCTTGGGAGAGATGGAGAGAGAGCGGAGCGGAATCGCGGAGTGGAACGGAGCGAACGGGGAGACACGGAGCGGTGACGATGAGGGTGTGAACTTTAAAGTGCAAATAAATGGAACGAGAAAGACAACCGGAGTACGAGTCCTACACATGTATACTGTACATGAAAAGTATGGTTTCAGTTGTTGATTACACACAATCCACCAAAAATTGCGAAAACATTAAAAAAATTGTGCGAAAATCTATCACACCGAAGAACCTGATTTTAACTCCAATTGGATCTTCAGAGTGGTTCCTTGCAGTGCAAAAAACACCGGATTTCACTATTTTTTTCAGATGGTACTGTCAAGTAATTTAATTCATAATCATGTGGCCATAATATTTGGAATGTTTTACACGCGCTGAGCTGTTTTGAGAAACTGCATAGATTATATTAACTGCAAAACGTAAGTTGGAATTAGTAGCACCTCCAACTATCCACCTGCAACCATTTGCGCTTGGGGTAAACGATCCATAATCTTAGCTATGCTGGATCAATATTATGACTTAAACATAGTGTGAGCACTTTGTAAGAAAATCAGCAAGTATTGTGAGCGATTAGCAATCTCTCACAATACAATGGCGACCTCTGCAGCTTCTCTCACAATACAATGGCCACCTCCGCAGCTTCGTCGTCGTGGTAGCTCTCCGAACTTACATTTACATGCAAATTTCTCACTTTAACATCACTAGCCCCGCCCTCTTCGCTTATGACCCTTGGGCTACACCCATTTCAAACCTTTGAAACATCCTGCCTCAGCAGCTTTACCACAATTTTTTCTCCTGATGACGATTGCTTGTGTTGCAATCGAAACATCGTAGTTTTTGGTTATTTTTTGTTATTTTCTTTGAACCTATCTACGTGACTTTACCAAAAGACCCAAGAAAATGAATTTCTGCAGCCACGCAAGCTTTAAGTCAAGATTCACATTATGATGTTTAAGATGTTCGTTGGTGTGATAACTCTCAGCCCAAAGAGGAGCAGAGTGTTCTGTAAAGTATACTCGTGTGTGCATGTCTGATTCACAACTAGTGTGATATCAGTCGGCACAACTCAGTATCACCGCATTGTCTACAGTCGTCTTGATGTCCCGAATTGCATATAACAACAATGGAATGGCTCGGCTTGTGCAGCTGAAAAGTAACTCATGCCTCTTGAGAATCACCACGCTGGCATGGAATGGCCCCAGCATGGCTTGGATGTGCAAATATAAAACAGGTATAAGATTAATATGTAGTGCAATCACATCTGATTTCCAACTAGTGTCTGCGAGTTTCTGCATAAGGTTTTAATTTTTTCATCAACCTTCAATGGTAGGTCAGGTTTCGATCAATAGTACCCCCAATATACTTTGGGAATGGGTGATTCTAGACTGCCTTGCTGCAAATAAACACATTTGATTCAGTAATATCTAATTGTTCCAATGGAATGCTGTAGCCATGGTCTTGTATGGAGTTGCCAATTTCTGAAATATTAACAGTTAGGTCGTTGGTGAAGGAATAACCTATTTTAGGCTTGACACGTGTAGTGAGGGAAATATCGTGTGTATACATTTCTCCGATGTGTGTGGTATGTCGGTTAAAAAATGTATAATGCTGGGACAAGTACGGAGCTCTGTCTGGTACCTTGATAACTACTCGAAACAGCCCTACTGACAAGATTTCAATGACGTCCAAAATGTGTAAATTCTTTAGCAATTGCAAGTTGGTGCATTTCCTGATGCAAATAGCTCTTAATTGCATATGTTGGTAACAGAGGCTATAGAGACGAATACGACATTTCTCACCTGTGTTTAATGTAACTCCACAAGGCTGTGAAGGATGAGGCCGACTGTATCCATCCTTACACTGACACACAGTGTCACTAGTGACAGTACAGTCTTGTTGAACATATTCATCTACACAGCAGAGAACAAAAGGAAACGTAGTTTTATTCCAGTACTGTACTGTTTGCTTAATGAACAAAACTTGTTGGTCTTGGCAATATGTCCCACATAGCTATAACTTCAGTACACTGTACATAAAAATTTGGTAATACAATGGAAAATGCATTATCTTTGATGGCTGTCGAGAACAGGGTAATTGATCAACGAATGTTTGTTATTGGAACTTGCTGATCTGCCCCTCCTGGACATGTGAAAAGGAGCTTCATAGCTCATTGGATTATTTCTGTGTAAATGAAGATTCTGATTCTAATGTATGGATGAGAGGCGCTAATCACAGTGGGTCACATTTACCTGTAGCGGGGCATTCTAGAATGCATGACTCACCGCAAGTCAACCCAAACAACAATCGCAATTATAATAACAAAGGCGCGATGAGGTGCGTTCATCTCATTTCGTCTCATCTGTGGAGGTTCATCAGAGATGAGATGAGGGACCAATGTGATGGCAGTTTAATCAACTATGGATGTTGCCTCTCCTCTTTCATGTTGCATAGTACTCAATTTGTATCACCTGGCGATGTGTGTTTTGAGAAAAAAGATGAGTAAAATCATTTATCCAGGTGACTTTGCCTGTAATCTGCCATGGACCCTCTTGAATGTGTAATTGTCGATATTTTCTGAGTTGTTATTAACCAGGATATTTTAATCTCCACTCTAAAATAGTAAGTGCTAGAGCTTCCAGTGATATCATCTGTGTATATGATTTCTCTCTCTAGGTTCCTGTGCGTGTGTTAATCCTTTTTTTAACAGTTTCATTTCAGCTTTTCATATTATGAAAGTATTTTTTCTGTTCTTAGACCATTCTACATTTCCAAAGTATGATACATTTCCTCTTTCTTTATTTGCCTTTTTAATTGCTGCAAATTCTGGAGCCAAATGGTGTGAAACCCGACTCGCCATCTTGTCCTCACCTGCGAACCTGCAGTGCAACCGGGAAGTACCAATTCAAACTGTCTGCGCCATCATCATCCTCCTCTTTTTCTTCTGAGCAACTCAATATCACTATGGGGACCTCATTTGCCAGTAAAAATATGATAATTGGTTCTTTACCCTTCTATCTGGCAACAAAACTGACACCTTTTTGCAAGGAGTCATGTTTGCATAGACCGCAATACCTGCAGTCATAATACAAACAAAAGAACATAACTCTGATAATGTGCACTGTCCTTGAAGTTGATTGGTCCACACCCGAGACAGCTTTCCTTCGAGCCTAGTCTCATATGGGTTGGACCAGATGACGCCAAAAGGCGCACAACTCAAGGACAATGCACCATCAGAGTATGAGAGCTCGGGGCAAGCATCTACACTATGGGGACCTCATTTGCCAGTAAAAATATGATAATTGGTTCTTCACCCTTCTATCTGGCAACAAACTGACTGCAGGTATTGCGGTCTATGCAAACATGACTCCTTGCAGTCATAATTATGACTGCAGGTATTGCGGTCTATGCAAACATGACTCCTTGCAAAAAGGTGTCAGTTTTGTTGCCAGATAGAAGGGTAAAGAACCAATTATCATATTTTTACTGGCAAATGAGGTCCCCATAGTGTAGATGCTTGCCCCGAGCTCTCATACTCTGATGGTGCATTGTCCTTGAGTTGTGCGCCTTTTGGCGTCATCTGGTCCAACCCATATGAGACTAGGCTCGAAGGAAAGCTGTCTCGGGTGTGGACCAATCAACTTCAAGGACAGTGCACATTATCAGAGTTATGTTCTTTTGTTTGTATTATGACTGCAGGTATTGCGGTCTATGCAAACATGACTCCTTGCAAAAAGGTGTCAGTTTTGTTGCCAGATAGAAGGGTAAAGAACCAATTATCAACTCAATATCGTCACAGCCATATTCTTTAAGCTATTTAAGATGGAGGCCCTTTCTTATGTAGCAACAAGATGGATACCGCCTTACTCAAGCTGAGATAAATTAAGATCAGCTAAAGGATTGGGGCCCACGGGAGGAAAGTGGGGATTCTTCTGTTCAATCTGCCCATGTGTTCAGCATCGACCCCAGCCTCTTGTGCAGTAAAGCGAGTCCTGTTTGGAGTGCTGCGACCCAATGAAATAACCTGAGAATATTTTTGCTCAGTCTGCCTTTCACTTCATGGATGGATCTTGGGTGCAGCCTATTAATCAAAATGTTTTTCAACCAACCTAGGATTTAATAGACCTCTATCTTCTTCTCACAATGTTTTATACACCAGAACCCACTGTATAACTGATTGCATGGTGATACAACTAACTTTCTCATCATTTTGGTTACATAAGTCATTTGTTTTATTGAACATAGAGTGATTTATTAACCTGTGATGCGTGCTTCTCCACACTCAGATGACATCTATATACACACATGAAACCTATTCGTGTGGAACTCTTACAGAGAACATTGCAGGTGCTGCACTTTTTGCATTCAGGACCACGGTTTGCAACATCCATGTAGTTCTTCCCTGGCATGCAAGGTAGGCAGAGAGAATCGCTGTCATCAGAATAGCAGTCGTGAAACCAGCTGAATCCTGTAAAATGGACAAGTTCAAATAATAACGGGGTCAGAAAACAACTTTTGGTTAATTTTAATTTACATTCCAGGATTGTTTTTACTGTAAACAAGTTACTTGATGTGGATACTTTTCAAATTGATAACAAGTTTCTACAAATAATAATATTCATTCCAAAATTGGATTACTCGATGCTGATGCCTTTTTTTATTTACACCATGGCCTGCTGTAATGTAACAATGGCTTGTCAGTAAATGTGGGTATTATCACACAGTACTGAACAGCTGACTTAATGTAACCTAGCCCATTGATCATGGTGATCAACTTTAGCCTATCCAGCTATTTTCTAGAGATGCTCTGTTGCAAGTATTGCCATAATTGTATGTGTAATTTTCTTTGCAGACCGAATTATCAATTGTTTATGTTGTCTAAATGCAAACCACACATTCTACAAGCTAACGTTTGACCGCAGAGTAATAGATGTTACTGTTTTGCTTGGTTACCTGCACGGCAGAGGTGGCAGCAAAACCCATTAACCGCTCTGTATTGTCCTTTCTCTTCACATTCATTATTCTCAACCTGAACATGAAATTTAAGTATAACAACAGTCAGGGCACAGCTACGTATATGCAACAACGACTCCTCAACAATGCATGTGTAGAGGATGTTCGAGACATCCTCACACACGAACACCACACAACCACGGGCTAAGGGTCAAGGGTCGAGGGAGCACTGCCGTACACGACACGCAATCCGATGATTGAATGGAGGGCACTGATCGGATTGGTACGAGAAGGATTATAAAGGGCGGGAAACCCCAAGAAGGTGATATGCGAGAAAGGGGGGAGAAGGGCTGTAATAGGGGACGAAATTGGAGGGTTGGGGTTGGTTTTGGATGCCGAGTGGAAGTGTGGTGTGAGTTGGCGTCGATAATAAAGACCCGTCTTGACCAGCTCAAGTCTCGTCTGCACATGTAACAATTCACTCGACTCCAAATCCCCTGCGTATTGTCGTGATCCAAAGTCAATATATTTGTCTTGCCTGTTAAGCCTCGTTTCTACTGTCTGAATGTAGTCTCCTTCGCACTGTGGATCGTTTGTACTGTCTATTGTATGTGTACTGCCTTGCCCATACTGGCTGTCATGTCTGTACTGTATGCCAATTTTTTCCAGTCTCATTTCGTGCTACTTCCTTGGAGGAAAAAACTATTAAAATAATGTATTACTTAAATAATATTAATAAAAATATTCGACTTGAAAAATACATTCTAAACATAAAAGTTATTTAAATAAAAAAAATCTATCAATAGGTAACATATACAGGTAGTCCCCAAGTTACGACGGTCCGACTTACGATATTTAGATCTTACAATGGCGATACGACAAAAATGCCATCAACAACCTAACATCGTTCAAGTGTGCAGACGACGGACAGAATCTTGGTGAGTACAGTACAATATGATACGTTACGATACGTTCAATGCATGTATGATACGTAGCTTTAGCGATTTCATTTTAAGGTTACCACGATACGATACGTTAAATGCATGTTAAACGTTTTTATAGCAGATAGGATTGTTTCCTGAAAAACACTTTCTATTAAATTGCAGTTCATATAGGTAGGCTAAGAATTTACCTTTTTTATTTTACATTTTACTGTGCAATACAGTATTGTAATTAATAAATACATACAGTATATAGTTTATACAGTACGCTACTGTAAATTGCTCTGTTTTGCTAAATTATCACCATTTTTTAAGACTCCTGGGTAGGCGAGGCCATCTTCGACTTACGATATTTTCGACTTACGATGGGGTCGTCGTAACGCATCTCCATCATAAGTAGAGGACTACCTGTACTATTGACCATAAAACTCACGATAATTTGGGCTCAATACAGTGGTTAGCATTGCTATCAAGAATATGAGCATTGATTGCATTTAGGAATGCTTGCATTTTGGAATGACGCGTGCAGGTGCTACGACTGTGCTGGATAGTCAGTCCAGATAGCCCTACATCAGTGTTCTTCATTGCAAGGCCCGCATGCCACCAGCAGCCCCGGTGGCCTTTAGTGCGGCCCCTGACGTGCGGCCCCCGACAATACACAAATGTGAAAACACTCCCCATCATCGTGCTGTCAACCCCAATGGTTTCAAATGTGTAGCGGCCCTCACACTGATGATGTGATATCGGCGAAAGTTGGACCCCTCTGAAAATTATTGAACACTACGCAAGAAACTGGCTGATGGAGGTGTTCCAGTTAGGTAAGAAAAATTGGCTCGCCCATTCTCACAACATTCTACACATGGGAATAAGGAGGCTTACCAAAACCTTTACTCAGAATTTGGTACAAAAAGGAAGAATGAAGGGTTGTTTAGGACCAACTGTTTACTGATCTCAACTATGCTGATGATGCAGTTCCTTTTTACAGAGCACCCAGCAACACAGCTCATGGCACTGACAAGTGTTGACCAGGCAAATATTACTAGGGGCCTTCATACTTCCTGGACAAAGCTAAACTTCAGGTCGTGGGTTGTGGCTCTGTAGCATAAAGTTAATGCTGCAGGTATGGCCATAGGCCAACTATTGTTGATGATGTTGTTGATCATGTTGATATTGATGTTCACGGTCATTTGAAGATGCTGCTAACAATGATATATCATTCTATTATGCATTATGCAACATGTTAATATTTTATACAAATCTAATTAAGAATAACACAACATAATTACCTTTAAGATGTGTATACAGTCATACATATGAATCTTGACTTAAAGCTTTCGTGACTGCAGGAATTCATATTCTTTGGGTCTTTCGGTAAAGTCACGTAGATAGAAAAAAAATAATAATAAAATGAAAATAAAGTGAATAAAAATGAAAATAAAGTGAATAAAAAATAATAATGAAAAAAAAGTGAATAAAAAATAATAGTTTTTTATTCACTTTATTTTCATTTTTATAATTTTATTATGTTTTTTTTCTACATCACTTTACCGAAAGACCCAAAGAATACAATAATACATTACATATGTTAACGACTCCTCTGGGAACGAATATCCTTTATAACGAAGTCGCCTGTAGAGGGACACTTCACCGCCCAATTATTGAAAGAATATAAATACTTACATATCTGTAGTGACTGGGAATGTCACTGTGTGGTGCCGGGCTTGCGAGGCCATGGCGGGATGTATACTGTTGTGTGTACACCCCGGATATGGGGTGTAGTACCAGCCCTAGTGCGGGCTTGGGTGAGTCTTGGTTAAGCGCGGTGGCCACGCACAGCGTGCAGTGCGGGCTCCCGTTGAGACAGTGAGTGTCAGCCAGCTGGGGTTACGTTGGAGGCATGATACTCTGGCTGACCTGGCGACATGTGACCGGATGATACTGGAGGAGGGCCACCGGTGGAGGGGGCCAATGGGTGGTCACATGGTCTGAGAAGAACTCTCGAGAGCCTTCGGGCAAGAGTGAGAGAGCTCGAGAAGGTGGGCGGAGCGAGAGGCGGAGCCAGCCCGGCCCGATATAAGGGGGGCGCCCTGTGAGGGGCTCGGAGTTCTTACTGTTGGAGAGGCAGGAGATCCACGTCAAGCTTGAAGAAGCCTCCAGCCACGCGGTCCGGGACCCAGTTTGTGGTCCGGACCGGGATAGTGGAACCGTGTCGTGTTCCGCCATAGCGTGGTTAGTTGGGTGGTCACCACCCGAGAGTGTGCTGTGTTAATAGCCTGGAGTATGTTGTGCTAAGAGTTCAATAAAACGTGTTGCCCCCAAGACAACGTCTGCAACTCAGTTGGACTACATATCTTCTGAAATCATGGAAAGCAATTCAAAAGAGTGATATTTAATAAGTATAACCCGTAAAAACAAAGTTTTTCACTCTAAATCCTTTATATGCGTGGCGGCTAGAGTCCTCTCGTCCTCTGGCTTAAGATGGCTGCCACCTATGGGTCAGATGATTGTCTGCAGTATTAAACAATTGGTAATTAAATATTTAATTTGTTTTCCCTAAACAGTGTAAAATTTTGGAAAAAAACATTAATTGTCTCGCACAACGAGTCTGTGTGCAAAATGTCAGCTCGATTGGATCACGGGAAGTGGGTTAAAAAACGACCGAAAGGTTTGCACGGTCGTAAGCAAGCACGCAAGCAAGCAAGCGAACTTAATATAAAGGATTTAAAAAGCGCCCTCTCCAGCTTGCCATAGCTCACGATCCTCGTGTTGATAAATTGTAATAATTTTTTTGCAGTCACATAAATTACTTCATTACCCCCACATCATGGAATACAAATGACCAATTAACGCAGGGGCCGGCAACTTGCAGCTCTGGAGCAGCATGCGGCTCCTTGGCTTTACTCTTACGGCTCTTTGGCTGCCCCCTTGCGGGCAACCGTTTGATGAAGAAAATGTTATCTTAAACATCATTTAATGCAAAGATAATTAGCAATTTATTAAATACGACAGGGAATGGGTCACTATGTATTGTCTTGGTGATGGCAATATTTACAGGACTGTGAAATAATAACTAATGGGGACAAAATCTAAATAGAAAGTTTATACTGGTAGGAACCACCTGGTTCTACCAGCCCACAGGGGATTATTGTGTCCGTCCATCAATTGTGCATCCAAAAATTGGAAGCGGTGGGGCTGGGTGGAGAGGGGAGGGTGGAGAGGGGCTGGTTGGGGAGGGTGGGGCTGGGTGGGGGGTGGGAGGGGTGGGGCTGGGTGGGGAGGGGCTGGTCACCCCGTGGTGCCCTTATAAAACTCAACGCCAGCTTGTGCCCGCCCTCGGCCATATTTGCGGAATACACCACGCCACCGTTGACCCTGGCCATTGACCGAGCAACCCAACATTCCTACCAGCTCCCTCCGCAGGAATGTGTTACCATCACAATTTGTTTAAGTCAGAATTTGGCATCTGCTGTATACCTGCTGTGTTTGCGTACAAGTACCTCTGCGTGTGATGCGGCTCTCATACTATTTTGGTCAAAGACAAAACTAAATAAAATTGCTCTTCTTTTTCTTTGAAAAGTTGACCCCTGCTCGAATGGAAGTTGTTTTATTGGGTAAAAAGTGCAACGTAAATCCCTCTCTTTGGAAACGAAAATGCAGATCATAAGGAGGGTAGAGGCGGGAGAGATGACATTGGAGTGGTGCGTTCGTTAGGGCTTGCACAATCCACCTTAAATATAATTTTAAAACTAAGCCGACAACGTAAAGACGACTGTGTTGGCCATGTTATCCTCTTTTACTGCCTTCTCTGAAGTCTTGGAACGCATCCCAATGCCTCCTTTGTTATATCTACCTCTGGTAACTAAGTTTCTGATAATGAAGTGACGTCATGGAATAAATTTTTTTTCATTTACCGAGGTATTACGCTATGTTAATTATTTTACGTTTTCTAAACCGCACCAGTTTCAACAAATGGCTTCAGAGTGCTGTACAGAAAAAATATATCTCTAGTTTATTTACCACATCATAGGAAATAAGTAGTTTTTACTACTCAGTGGTGAGGTATAGTAGGGTTTCAGGCAGAGCGTTCCAAATCTGAGGGCCTAGGACCAAAAAAAGCCAAAACTCCAAAAGTTTTTTGCCGAAAGCGTGGCTGTGTGAGGAGCTCAAACTCAAATATTGAAGCAGTTGTTCAAAGAGTGCTTTGTGAATTAAACACATCAATATTATTGGATTTTCCCGCAATTCATATCCCAATACACATAATTGATACATGTCCAGTTGTGCTTGACAGATGTTTTGTCTTGACACTCGTTAACAAACTCATGTGGTACCATTGCCAATGGCTTTGCCGCTGCTTCTAGTAAGGGTGTGCGACAGCCTGCTATGTAGCAGTGACATACAAAAGCAATGTAAGAACCTAATGTTCGTGAAATGATGGTTTTGTTGGGTTTTAAAAGTTAGTCTTACGTTTTTTTACATATGTTATCAGTCATAGATATTATATTTAACTATATATCTTGTTACCTGCCTTATAGGTGCTGAACATCAGTGAAAAAGAGCTTCATAGCTCATCGGATTCTTCCAGCATAATTACATGTTCATATTCTGAGTTATGCAAAAAAAATAGTTGATGGTTGCGGAGCCCCAAATGTTAGGACGACATATTTAGAGTATTAATTTGTACAGTGAAATAGAGGTGTAATGCAATTATGCAAAATAGTGAAGATATAAATATTTCGTACTTAAATAGTTAAAACATCTGAAACATTAATGGCAAGAAACAGGCTAGCCGAAACTAAAGGAGCAGCCAACGAGATTGAAAGACCTCACATCGTGTATTTTTGGAGATATTTAGAGCAGCCCAATATTATTCATAATCAACGTTTTTGGGTTTAGATCGCGTTATTTATAAATGTGTCGTAATCCTCCACCACCCGACACGGCCAATCAGTAAAAAAGTGTCACGTTGACAAAAGACAATTAGTGCACTGCTTTAGCCCACCGGTGTGTTGAAGCGTGAAACCACAACATTTACAATTTGAGTACGACGTTTCGCTGGTAATTGCAGCGCCACTGAGAAGCAACAGAGAAAAATCACGGGCAGTTGAGAGAGAAAACACTATTTGGGCAGCAGAAGGGATATAGCGACACTTGCCATCGGCTTGATGTCAATGGTGATCGGAGGCTTGGGAAGATGATGGGAGGTAATGTTCGATAACGAAGTAGATTAGGAGCAGCTGAGTAGAAAGCGTCTTCTCGTAGTGGGTATAAACTGTACTGTATTACACACTTACCATTGAGATGAACGTAAAAAAGATGATGCCAGAGATCAGCCCCATTACTGTCACTTGGTTTGGCTGCATCGTTTCAAACTTGGTGTCAAAATGGTACTACTGGAGCAAGAACCTGACGATGAATAATTAATATCGCTGTTATGTAGCTTTACTTTAGAGACGCTTCACTGTCAAATAATGCAAATACGCCTTGTGGCCCATCAAAATTTCTACAGAAGAACCCCCAGCTGGATCACCAGTGCCTGAGTGTAAAACACTTAATTATTAAACAGTTAATATCTCTCAAAAGTACATGTAGACTAAGATGAATGTACCGTGCGAGTTTCTAGACTATCGACTTTCAGCCATCTAGAAGCACGGCGACCACAGCTCCTTTATAACTTCCTCATTCCGTGCGATTCATTGTCGTTTCAGAGAAGTGGTCAAACTGGAAACACTGTGCCAGGGTGGTGGTCCAGATGTCTTGTGATCACCATTTAATTCTCTACTAAATCGTCATATTTTTGTCAGTAAGATGTATTTGAAGCAGAAATTAATATGGAAAGGAAACACATTCTAGGGGTCAATTAATTGTGGTGGGTCACAAGACATCTGAATCACCAGTAGAGTTCTATATTTGAAGCAAGTACAGTACAGTTTGTATATATTATTTGAAAAAACTCAACATGTGCATCAATAACACTGTGGCCATACATGAAAATACAGTGTCAACAACACAGGTGACGTTTCGGGTAATGAGCCTTCTTCAGAGCGGCCAGAGAGATAGAGGGATTGATAGCTGGAGGCTGACAAATAATTATACTCTTAGGTTTTTTCGGTAAAGTCCCGTAGGTAAAAATAAATAATAAAAATAATAGAAATAATAATAGAAATAAAATAATAAATCACGTTTTACTTGATACAGTAAATTTAGCTGTGACGGTCCCACCTGGTGACGGAGACTTGTGTTGCCTCCGAAACGTCGTGATTTATTATTTTATTTCTATAATTTCTGTTGTTTTTATTATTTATTTTTACCTACGTGACTTTACCGAAAAAAACTAAGAGTATGAATCCTTGCAGTCACGGAAGCTTCAAATCTAGAATTGACAAATAATTATGTTTAGAAAATGTTTTAACTTGCCATTTTAATACTGTACAGGGGAACTCTTATCCACGGCGCTTTTACCCTCGACTCCGACTATTACACTAGTCAACAAAAAAAAACATTTTTTTCTGGCCTGGACATTTGCAGCTTTTTTAGACTAATTTCAGGGTGCTGATTGCAAGTTGTTGCGAGTCAATGACTGCTTTAGTGTTAAAATATGGTGCTGTATTTTTAGAATAGTGTGTTTATAATATAATTTTATGTAGATATCCACATTTATTTAATATATTTTTTCTGCAGTTTTTATTGAAAATGCAATATTTGATATCTCAAAAATCAACTGATGTGATAGACAAAAACCGATGCCAGCTTTGGAATCAGCACCCCAAATTTACCTTTAAACCGTTGGAATACCTTATGCCAGAAAAAGTGTGTTGACCAGTTTTATCAATGCCCCTTTTCCTCTCGTTTATCCGCGATTTATGAGTCGATCTCACCCGCGGTAATCGGCAAACATCTTTCGTAGCAAAACATGCGCTGTGATCATAGCAAATGCGCGGGCGACACTTACATTAATCATGAGACAGAGGCGTAGCTAGGGGGGCAGGGGGGTACATATGTCCCCGGGCGCCAAGGTAAAGGGGCGCCAAAATGTGGCTTAGAACGTTACATTATCACTTATTGCGGCAGGCGCTGCAGCCTGAAACTACTGCACAAATCTACACCTCAACCTAAAAGTTTATATATCCCGCCACACACAGCCTACATGTCATGTAATTACATTTTGGTATGTGCGCCTATTAAGAACTAACATGGAAGAACGTCCCAAACAACAGACAGGCGCAGTCTTTCAACCTGAGTCACTGGCCTGTTTTTTGGTGGCGGAAACTACGACGGCCTATTTTTAGTTCTTATTAGTGACACCACCACGCTCCAGGCGGCTGCAGCAGCCGGAGCAGCCCACGCTCGTCAACAGCCTGGGGGATCGATGTGGACAGAAGAATTAGGCGACGTCGGAAGATGCCAGGAGAACTGGCAAGAGATGCAGGACTTTCAGCAGAAGAAGAAATTGTGCGCGTTATGAAGAGCGTATTTTATCGACTTCAACAGGAGATGTCAACACGGTTTTTACGACTAAAAGACCTGAACACAAAATTTGGATTTCTGCTGGACGTCAAAACTCTTTTATCCGACACAGATGTCGATGCAATTCGTATAAATTGCAAAGATTTTGGAAATTTCTATTACACTGACATCAATGGCCACTAACTTTACACAGAAATTGGAGATTGCAAAATGCTGCTCAGTAACCGGAATGAAGTTCTACCAGAAACTCCTTTGGATCTTCTTAGGTTTATTGTGTTTTATGGAGACGACATTTACGAATTTGCGAATTTCACTGCAAATTTTATTAACAATAGCAGTTTCAATTGCAAGCTGTGAGCGGTCGTTGAAACTTATTTGTCGTATTTGCGTGCTTCAATTGGACAAGATCGTCTCAGCGATCTTGCTCTTCTTAGCGTTGAAAGAAAAACATTGGAAAAAAACTGATTTTGATTACGTGATTGACCAGTTTGCGACAGTGAAATAAAGAAAAAATAATATTTTGTAGACTATGTCAACCAGTCTACGACAGTGACTGAGTGAGCCATGTAATATAATTTATATAAATTTGCTTCTTTAAATACAATGTTTCATTAAAATGTAAATTATTCCTTATTCGATGTAATAGGAAAATGTGATTAAACGGGGGGGGGGGGGGGGGGGGGCAATTTTATAGTTTGTCCCCGGGCGCAAAATATCCTAGCTACACCTCTGTCATGAGATTCACACACACGAACACCCACACGGAAACAAGGAGAGACACCGACACGAAGACACACAAAGACCGTGAGACACACACAGACACGGAGTCAGAGAGACACGGAGACACACAGATACACTTATAAAGTACTGTATAGCATTATTATTCCTGTACTTAACGCAAAGATAATTAACAATTGATTTTCTACGACAGGGAATGGGTCACTATAGATCGTCTTTGTGACAACAAAATGACCAATACTGTTAAAGAATAACTAAGGGGCCGTCCATAAATGACGTCACGCAATTTTGGAAGATTTTTGACACGGCGTCACAAAAAGTCAGCCCCCCCCTCAAATATGACGTCACAAAGCTCTGCCCCCCCCCCCCCCAAATAAAACATGCTTCAAACTATTGTCATTGTAGTGCGTATTTAATGTGGTGCTGCACTCTGATGCTGTAGGAGAAAACATTGATTAAAAAGTCTATTTAATTAAGTAGAACGTGTTGTCTATATTTATTTAAAGTTACGCATTTTGATGTGGCGTCACATTTCTCACCCCCCCACCCCTCGTCACACATCGTCACGAATGTCTGACCTCCCAACCCCCCAGGTGCGTGACGTCATTTATGGACGGCCCCTAAGAGGGGCAACAACTAAATAGACGCAGTTTATTCCATCACATATTTTGTTTATTTAAGTCAGAATTTGTCACCTGGTTTTATTGGATTTAAAAATCTAGTCTTACTTTTTTACAGAGTTTGTTATATCAGTCATAGAGATTTTATTTAACTATAGATCGTGTTACCTGCCTTACAGGTACTGCACATCTGTGAAAAAGAGCTTCATAGCTCATCGGATTCCTCCATGATAAATACATATTCAGATTCTGTGTTATCCCAAGATTTATGTTTTACCCTGCATTGTGATGGTTGCGGAGCCCCAAAGGTTAGGACATATTATTCATATATACAGTGAAAGAAAATCGTAATGCATATTTTTTGTATTTTTTTTATTTTCTTTGAACCTATCTACGTGACTTTACCGAAAAACCCAAAGAATAGACGTAATGCAATTATACACAATAGTTAAGATATAAACATTTAGTTATTCAAAAGCTCAAACATTTGAAACATTAACGGCAAGAAACAACCTCCCATTGTCTGAGCGCCACTAACAGAGAACAATCACGGGCAATTGAGAGAGAAAATACCATTTGGAAAGCAGAAGGAAAATTGCAACACTCTTGCCATCGGCTTGATGTCAATGGTGATCGGAGGCTTGGGAAGATGATGGGAGGTAATGTTTGATAGCGAAAGAGATCAGGAGCAGCTGAGAAGCAGAAAGCGTCTTCTCATAGTGGGTATAAACTGTATTACACACTTACCATTGAGATGAACGTAATAAAGATGATGCCAGAGATCAGCCCCATTACTGTCACTTGTCTTGGCTGCATCGTTACAAGCTTGGTGTGCAAATGGTGTTACTGGAGCACGAACCTAACGATGAATATCGCTGTTATGCAGCGTTGGTTAAGAGAACGTCACTAAAATAAAGCGCATATGCCTTGTGGCCGTTGAACATTTGTACAGAAAACCCCAGCTTGACCACCCGTGGCTATGCGTGTAAAACACTTAACTCTTACACATTGTGGCTGTCTATCAAAAGTACAAGTACATGTAGACTAAGATAAACTTACTCTGTAGGTTTTAAAGACTAAGGGGCCGTCCATAAATTACGTCACGCGATTTTGGACTATTTTTGACACCCCCCCTCCTCACAAGGCGTCACAAAAAGTCAGACCCCCCCCCACCCCCGCAGGTTCTTTGCAGCTTCCTCCCACTGTTGCGTAACAAGGTATGAAGCTAAACCAGTGGCTAACCTGGAAATGCAGTACCTGCATGCAAATACAGTGTTTCATGTGTTGACAATGTGAGCTGAATACCATGCAAGTCACCTTGTGACATCGCTCATAAAACATATTTTCATGACAAAAAGTTTTTTTTATTGCTTAGTTTTCTTAACTGCATGCCCCCACCCCACCACAGATAATTTATTTTGAATTTACAATGCCTTCTGAAAATGTTAAAATATGATATGGAACGTGTAAATGGTCATCTGGGGCCACGGCCAGGACTGAATGTAGAGGTCACGCAAGGGACAAGGGATCACGCCCAGAGACATGGTTAAAGACAGGCGCGAAAAGGGGGATTAGGGAATTGGGTGAAAACCCAAAAGATAAATATTGGTGGGAAAGGAGAGGTGTTGGAGATGGGCTCGGGACTCTGGGAAGAAGAGGCTGAAGTTAAATAAAAAGTCTCCGTACCCTGCCCTGCAAGTGTTCGTGTTGGTATTGAACGGAACAATACAGTTCCCCTACCATTTGCAATAATTCCCCCATACACCTGTTTTCAAAATCATACAATTCATTTGGGTTCGCGGTGGATTTTGTGTTATGGCTTTAGATGCCACCGAAGTGTTTACCAACGTTGAACACTGCTCGCCAACACAAATGAAAGACGATGGTGAACACGACCACAACCGCCTGTCTGGCACAGCGCAATAGAATATTTGTTATCTTTTCACCAGATGGACAATTCCGCAAGTAGCAAACCTCGCAGTGACAATTCATAGTATATACTGTAGTAGAATCTTGAAGGTAATTTAGGTTTATTTGTTTGAAATGCTTATTTGTGGAACAAGCCAATGGTTTGACACAATGGCGTGGCTCACAACATCAAAGTTGAGATGTCTGAAGGTACAGTTTATAAAGGTGTTTGTTGACAAGCATGCGTGCAATAAGTGTTCCAGTGTTAAGCTTAAGTCTTCATTTGGGCAAGGGATGAGGAACCTACGACCCAGCCCGCAACTTAATTTGATGCGGCACAAGGCCATATCAGGCCTTCTGCTTGGAAACTGTGACTGTACACATCTTAGCCACTCTAATTTGGTACTTCAAGGAATTCGTTTAAACCTGGCAAAACTTGAATTTATATTATTACCACACTCATTCACTTCTGTCCCTTTTTTGTCCCCGTGCAGTTACAGAAGTCGGTATAATCATGGGCAGCCGCAACGTAAATCTTAACTCAGGATCTCTGAGGCACCAGGTTACCTGTGATAGTGGCCCTCATTCTGCAGTGTACTGACAAGTGTTTTTGTACGTATACATGTGAGAACATCGAGATATCTCAACCATTTCAAGATCTCGGTCAAACAAGCGCCAAACTGCAATCACCCTGTAAGTCCTGGCAAACGTGCATTCTGGGTGCATTCTACCCTTTTGTAGTGTTTTGCACGTGACTTGCAATCAAGAGCTCGCCGGTTTCAAACCTTCAGCGTTCGAGTGTAAATAATGAAGACGTTTTTAAATATCCCCTTAGTCCACCCAGCAGTGTTAATGGTTACACAACCATCGGCAGGTCACATGGGGTGAGCTAAAGCGTGGGACATCTGGCCATCGTGGAAGAGTAATAATAATACTAATAATATATCAACACCAATGGGGACTAGGCTGTAAAGAAAGCCGTCTCGGGTGTGGACCAATCAACTTCAAGGACAGTGCATATTATTATCATTATCAGAGTTGTTTCTTTTTGTTTGCTTTTTTGACTACTTGTGTTGTGGTTATTGCAAACATGATGCCTTGAATAAAGGTGTCAGTTTTGTACCAGTTTAAAAGGGTAAAAACCTACTACTATATTTTGCCACTGGTATAAGAGATCTCATAGTGTAAATTCTTACCCCGAGCTCTCAATACTCTGATATTGCACTGTGTTTGAGTTGTACGCCTTCTGGTGTCATCTGGTCCAACACCAATGGGGACTAGGCTCTAAAGAAAGCCGTCTCGGGTGTGGACCAATCAACTTCAAGGGCAGTGCATATTATTATCATTATCAGAGTTGCTTCTTTTTGTTTGCTTTTTTGACTACTTGTGTTGTGGTTATTGCAAACATGATGCCTTGAATAAAGGTGTCAGTTTTGTACCAGTTTAAAAGGGTAAAAACCTACTACTACAGTAATAATAATACTTAAATGTCATGCTAATAGCATCACATAACGCTGTACATTAATTATATATGAGGACCAAATCCCATATACAGCCAATACCAAGCAAATGAAACCCCTACTACGAAGAAAAAAACATAAAGAATGTTTTTTAAATGAAGAAATGGCACGAAAACAAAGCACAACAAAATAATCGACCAATTTACCCTCTAGAGGAGCTGTCTGCTAGCAGTGAACAAGCAGTTGCGAGGGCTGCCCTTTTACCTCATGTACCTTTACATTATTGGTGGTGAAGGGCGATGCTTGATGTCGTTGGTCAGGAGTGCGAGGTCTCAAACAGCGAGTGTCGCTGTCTCTGTTGTTGCCTCTGCCCTGCGTCTCAGGGAAGGGAGTCGAGGGCAGCGCTTGGGAGGAGAGGGGAGCGGCCGCCTGCGCTGGGAGGAGACGGAGGCGCCACCACCACTCCGTGGGCAGCTGGGACAGCAGCAAACAGTGGCGCCCAGCTCGCAGGCAAGGGCCAGGATCGATGTATGGATGCAAGACTGGGGCTGGATCAAGCGAAGCCATAACCACATCAGGGCCAACATGTTCGCATAACCTTTGTAGAAATGACTATCGGTAGAGTGGCAACCGATGAAGGGAACACGCCCGAGAGGACATCCACGATAAAGATGTAGCAATTAGTTGAGTTCATATACAGGGGCTGTGTGGAGTGTTGCTCTGCATGAGTATCAGGTATGGCAACAGCTTGGACAGACAGACATGTATCAATGTAGATCGTGGATGATTATGATGATGATTATTATAATAATTTCAAATTTATAATTTTAAATCGAGAGCTCAAACACTGAATGGATTTTTTTACGTGAATTTCACTTGCAGAATAAGTAATTTCGCATTTATTTGTTGTCCTTCCAGCACATCTCCGATTAGCACGTTTGGTTACGTACGTTACGAAAGAAGTTCAACATAGATACGTAAAGTATATAATATTATAAACACATTTCTGCCAAAGCACTCATTACATCCTTTATCTTGATTGTGACATCGGCGTCATGTCATGACGAATAACATACGTGGATCTCTCCCAGACCAGTGGAGAGAACGGCCAACTGAAGCAGATATCACGGAGCTCCCTATGAAATTCCTTCAAGTGGCATTTGTTCCACACAGGGGGGATAGCACTTTCCAAACCATCTTTGCAAAAGCACTCTTAAGAGAAATTCCTGAACACCTTCATCTTACTCAGCTCGCTGCACTTAAAAAATATTAGCCGTTCCTGGAAGAGATACAAAATCCGCGGGTTGCCTCATTGTTTTGATCTCCATCGCCACGGATTACGGTAGTGGTCAAGAACCGTGGGGATCCACGAATTCTATTTGCGGATTTATTGGATTGTTCATTTTTGGAGTTCTGCTTCGTATTGCAGTTACAGTATGGGATGTATATGTAGGCATGCATACCTGTTAACCCCTTATCAGTGCCTACCTTATTACAGACCAATTCAGACCTTATTGGTCACCCCATGCCCTTACAAACCTCAACGTTTAACCTATAAAGTCCCATCACAAGGGAGAAACACAAACAAATAGAAAAAAAAATTGCCCGTATTGGAACGGCTGTATGCAGTATGAACCTAAAAAACTCAATTTCCCTCGACAAGAATACGGATAAACCATATGGATTGACAGGTATGGGCATGGGACAATTAATTTGGTAAAGCTGTAGTTTAACACGAAGGCCTTCGCGACCTACGTGTTAAACTGATTAACCTCTATAGAGATACGTTTCTTCAAACCAGAAAATTGTAAAACTCCGAATCAAGCGGATGAAGCTGATGTCTTCACTGGCATTCCTCAAAAGATGACATTAACCCCCCCCCCCCCTGGCCTTCGCACCTGATTGGCTCACAGGTGACGACATCACATTTATCCCTCAATTTAAGAATGAAAAGGAGGATTTCTCCACAAAATCTGACTGTCGCCTGATGATGCTATTTGTGATTACTGGCGAAACGTCGTACTCGAATTGTAATCGTTGTGGTTTACTCTCCAACACATCGGTGTGCTGTACTAATAACGAATTGACATGTTTTGCTTACGTGACAAACCTTACTAATTGGCTGTCGGGTGGTGGCAGGTTTAACGACACATTTATATTTACGGGATATAACCCAAAAAACCTCTTTTGGATAAAGCGGTCGTGTTTTTTTTTTGCAGATTAGTGATATTTAGACAGGATTTATGAATTCATGTTTTTTTGCATTAGATCGCATAAGTATAAATGTGTCGTTAACCCTCCACCACCCGATAACAGCCAATTAGTAAGGTTTGAAACAATGGACAAGTATCTTACATTTCCACGCCTTTCCATCCAGCAGTATAAATGCGTACACCACAGTTAGTACATTGGCAGGTCGTGAGGGTGGAGTCAAGTATGAATACTTCCACCTTTTTCTCGACACACGGTTAGCGTGGAAGATCAGACCAAATACTATCAAAATGAGCTTTCTAGAGCTCCCTCTAGTGGGCGTTCTTTCACCAACAGTGGCGTGGGCAATAAATTGCAGGGCTGCACTTTACATTTTATTGTTACAGTGTTAAGGTATGAACGTCCTTGCAGAAAGCTCCGACAATATTGGCCAAAAGCTATAGCGAGTTGTAAATTGATAAATCGGTTCACTTAAGTGGTGAATTAGCATATTACCTGAAAATGAGCCATAGTTTGACGTGT